AGGGGAGAAAATAGCAGGAGCCACAACCCACACGTCACTGCAGCTTTCCTGAGAGGACTGGGTGGTAGGTCTGGTCAAATGGTCTGCCACTGTCTTGCCATCTGTCACACATGGTCCTCCAGCTCTGGGTGGTGTTTTTATAGGGGCCGTGATTAGAGGTGAGGCACATTCGCCCTTCAGCTCAGACCTTCCCTTTGATCCAGTCATGGGAATTTGCTGTCATCCTTTTTCACTCTGGTGCAGTTTCTCCTGGTCTGAAGTCTGCCAACGGGCTAGCTCATGCTTCTGGGTGGGACTCATCAGAAAAGGACATCTACATCTGTGCTAGTTGGCCGCACTCTTTTTATCGCCGTTGTAGAACTGAGTAATCCACTCAGTGAAAAGGAGAGCATAGCTCTTCTTCTCTTCAAGTATAGTCCTAAACCAAGTCAAATTTATTTAATTGGAGTTCATTCAAGGTAAATCATGACCGAGAATTGGAAACAAAGTGGTAATCCCCGGAATGTGCTAGTTCAGATAAGGATTGCACTGGGTAGACACAAAAATAGTGGCCTGATTTTCAACAATTGCAGGATTAGTGTTGAGACCTACCTTTCAAGTCCACCAGAGGTTTTCTGGTTTTTCCATCTCCTAAGCCAGAAGATGCTCAGAAACACTATGGTAAGGAGAGATTGGCAGGTCACTGGTGGGAAATACGAGTTTTGGACTGTCTATATCTGCCTTGTAGACCTTCATTGTGTTCTATGAATGCTAGAGTTCCTTGTGATGCTCAGGGGATCTGGAGACAGAAAAGCATCTGGCAGCTGTCCGCTGAGCCCAGGGTGGAATAAGGAGATCGGTGGTGTCATGCTCTGCCATGTCTCAGCCGTCCTGGCTGGAGGACTGGGGAGTTACAACAGCTCCACCCTTTAACATTATGAAAATCCCAAGTAGATGGTGAAGGGATGTGTCATGTTTCATTTCATGTTGAAACAAGGAAACAGGGAGTTTGCATTTGAGGTTCTCACTACACATTTGTTCCACTTGGCTTCTGTGCTACCAAGGAACAAAATATGATACTAAGCAAGAAGAGGTGGTCAGCTTCATAAGGAAAATCTAACCGAAAATGTGTGGAGTTGTACATATGTTGCAGTGGGGGGGAATGGTCACATATGTGAATTGCATGTGTGCATTTGCATTTTTATGCATATTAAAATATTGTTTCTCTTTATTTACATATCCACTATAAGGGTAATCTGTCAGTTTTTTCTGCAGGAGTGTCCCCATCCATAGAGACACCCACCTTGTTGGTTTTCCCTGAGAGCCAGGTGTAAATTCTGTTGCAGATTTACATTGCTGACCTGTGCCTGTTCATTCAGAAGCTTAGACCTCATGTTCTGATGTTGTTTCCATCTTTTGCATTCAAGCTCAGCAGCAGCCTGTTGGCATCTTGGAGCGTTTTTAAAGTCCAGAGCTGCAAGAGGGCAGTAAAAACAGGGAGCAGGACAACTGTAGGAAACAGGAGGAAAAACAAAGTGATGAGACAACAAGAGATAGATGGCAGTCAGAGAAGGTCCAGCGAGTTGTCCAATATAGTCCAGCAGTGGTTATTAGAATATGCTTTAGGAAAAGGTACAAGAACACAGAAGAACTCCCCTGAAACATTCCTAAACATCCAGCAGAGATCCTAAACATCAAGCAGAGATCCTAAAATAAGTATCTCTGCACATTTGGTAATGCACAGAAATGGATTTATTTTCCAGGAAGTGGTCCTGTGACCCTTTACACACATGTAACTGTGAACATCCACAGTATTCCATGACCAGCTTTCCACAATTCAGCTGTAAGAGCTGAGAACCACTTCCTTCACCTTTTGAGCCTGATTCATGCCATCTTCGCTTGATACCCCCTAGTTCTTCTGATGGAAAAGAATATGGATAGTAGATCCCCATCTGTTAACAGATAAAACCCTTTCAGGGAAGTAGCCTGGGATCTACCATCATAATCATCTCTGGAGAGGACATCAGCAGTGGGAAATTGCTTGGGATAGGGGAAAGAGACTACAGTAGGAACACAGAGGCAGAAGAAGAATAGACAAAGGCAATCTGCAGCTTTATGGTAGGGACAGAGGTCCTAAAGGTGGGGCTGTTGAATAGGGAAGGTGGAGGAAGAAAGACGAAGAATCTGCCAGCTCTAGAAAATTATTTTCTTGGATTTATGAGTCAGTATTTTTCATGGACCTCACAACCACCTGGAACTATAACACAGAGATTAACCCAGTGCTCTTCTTATTTGTTTCAGTTTTCTGTTTTAATCTGGCTTTTATTCTGTGTCTCTTTCAGGTTGAATTCACTCCTGATCAAATAGAAGGTGAGGAAGATGTCACTGAGAGGTGCTGGCAAGTTCTGGGATGGACATGGGTGTGATATTGGAGCTCCCTTGAGAAGAGAGTTGACTCCCATGCTTTAATTCATGGCTTTGCTCCTGCTCTGTCCCTCCTCCAAATCCTCTGTTGAGTTGGTCAAAAGAAAAGGGAGAAAGTCATGCACTATGCAGATTAGGTAGTTATTTCATTAAAGGAGACATCATCTTCTCTGCCAATGAGGCAAAACCAAAAAAAGAAAAAACCAGAAACCACACACTACCAAAACCTCAGTCCAAATATATACTCTTACTTTAAGAAAACCCACTAACAAAATATCAATCCTTTCAAGAGAAAAATCTCACCACTCTGCTTTTGAGAACGTTTTCCTGTGTTCAATCAGAATTCAATGTGCTCTCCAGAAACCAGCAAATAATGACAGCAATGGCAGGTTTTTTTTCTTTCAAAGCAAAACATCAGCATTAGTTTCGGAACCCCTCGTCCCAGCCCAAGAAACTGATACTGAAACCTCATGCATGAAGTCCTGGGAATGCTACCACTGCAGCTGTCCCCTTTTTCCCCAACTATCAGCCCGCTTTTTACTTAAAGGGATAATTGATAGATAGAGTCAAACATCTGGCAGAATTTTGCTTTGGTCTTTAAACACTTGGCAGAACTTGGTAGAACCTCTGAAAGATGGTATCAGAAAATGGGTTAATTAGAATAGATGAAAAAAAAAAATATATATAAATTACAGGCTATCCAGTCAGGCTGATTCAGAGAGGAGAGATATAGAAAGATGGATTTTTAAAACTGGAATTAAATGCCATAATATCTTAGAGACTGAGGCTTTGCCACAAACTTCCAACATTACCTTGGAATTTTCAAGCCCCCCCCTTAATGGCTTTAGTTTCTATTTTCTAACAACAGGTCAAAAGTAACTCATGATTGGAGGCAACTGTTAATTTCTGGGAACTTGCTCCTTTTCCAGTTTCAAAGTCCTGGGAGAACCACAGGAAAGGCACAGTTCAGAGCCACAAACCTTTGAACTCTTCCAGCAGCACACAACATCTGAATCTCTCATCAGTTAATGTTGTGAATTGGGTAGAACCCATCGGTTCTGTGCCTTGTTTTCTCTCTCTCTGAGGAAAACTAGTTCTAGAGACTGTACCAGTAAATGAGAAAAGACCTATTCAGAAAAAAACAGGATGCTTGTCTGGCCATCATCTTGCTGGAACGGCTACGAAGTGGCAAATTTGGAGCCATCTCAGGGCTGCCATGGAAGGTAACAGGTCTAGAGCAGATGTAGGTCAGCTCGAGAAACAGAAAGTTGAATCTTCTTTCTTTTCTTCTTACAGCTGCCTTCTGGTCTAGCTGTACTCACTGCATACACAGAGAAAAGCTGGGAATCCAGAACTCATAAACTACAATGTCCTTGAAATATCAAAGGAAAAACCGTGGGGCAGGAAGCAGAGAACATAATCTGTGTGAGACAGGCTATGAGACCTCCACATCAGCTACAGCAGCGTAACAGTTATACTGTGTGGGGGCACTGGGGAGAAACATCAAATCCACTCCAAGTTAATCCCACAGTTGGTTCATAGGTTCTGCCATGAGTTGCTGGAATGAGAGCCTGATGGCTTGAACATCACCTGGGGACTCATCAGTCAGCTCAATTCCTTTCCTTCTGGCCTCTTCTGATTTTTTTTTCCTGACCTTTAGAAGGTTCTTAGATTCACAGCTGAGTAGGCAGACGGATTGATAGTTGCTAGATAGATTTTTACTCCCAGGTAGAGCTTATACGTTTCAGATGTAGAATTGCATCTATAGCATCGTCCACACTTGTCCCTGGATTGCCTCTGTGCTAGTTGGCACATGGCAAAACTCTGCCAAGAAGTGTGCTACCAGTTTAAGAAAGTGGGCAATCAGTATTCCCGTGCTTGGGACTGCTTCATTTTGTGTTAAAAGCACAGTTTAGAAAGCAAGCACCACTTGCCATGATTTGTAGCTGTTATACTGGCTTTTGGCATGACTTGAGAGTTGGGACTCACAGGAGCTCTACGTCTCGTTCTCTCCTCACTCTCTCAAGCTTCCAACAATTCCAGCTCTCCCTTTCTTTCTTCTGATTTCGTTTTCAGCTCCGTGTTGCACTGTTAATTTAGTCAAATTTCCTCTTTCAGGAAGTCATCAGGAGGTCATGGTCAGTTTTCATACCTCTATATGTATTTTTTTAAAAATAGACCTCTAATGTGTAACGATCACCTCTTTCTCTCTCTCTCTCTGGATCAGATGAGGACCTAGGTGTCTCAGTGAGACTAGATGCTTTTCCATTTGTCAGCTGAAACTAAACCAATAGGAAGTCCATCCTATGTGTTAGATAGTATTGTCTGCCAGTCTACTGCTGGTTTTCTGGCAGCTGATTCTGAGTTGAGGTGATGGAGGAGAAACAGACAATGCAACATCTCAAGGGCTTTTCCAGCCCTATCTTCTAGGATACTCTGAACCCTCTTGCTAAGGAAAAGACTTTGCTGTGCCAGACTTACCTCCCTGCAAGGATTCAGTGTTATGTTAGTCCCCAAAATGTTAGTCTCAGAAGGAGAAGAACCATCTGTGGGTGAAGCCATGTGTAACACACCCATCTTTGTATGTTCTTCTGCCTCAACCAGGAGTGAAATTCATTGGTTGTGGCAATTTGTATTTATGAAACTGGATTTCTGCCCTCTTCAGCCCACCAAATTGCTGCAAAGAGAAGAATATGAGCTATTCAAGATGAGAAGATAGGTAGCAATTAGGGACATGAAAATATACACTGCTCCTGCCAGTGGCTTAATGGCTAGGAGGGGACAAAGGAGACCATAGCCATGCTGGTTTCATTGCTTTGATGGAAAAATGCATTAAGCCAGCAAATGCAAATGCAAATGAAAAAAAAATTAAAATATGCTGCTTCTGTATATTGACAAAATGGGGTTTCCAAACCCACAGGCCAATGCTCTGATGAGAGGCGGTCACATCTGATTTTAAATTTTAAAAAAAGGAAAACAAAAAGAGTGAAATGTGAGCTGTCAGTAACTCTGATGGACTGTGATTCTTTAGGAGGTGGTGAGAAGGGTGCTCGGGCAATTGGTCTCAGGGAGCAGGTAAGCAGCAGGTGGATGAGTAGCTCAGGGAGGGAGATGTGTTTCTTATCCACCTCAGCTGCTGAGACCTCCACGAAAAGGACAGAGCTGGGAATGGGGCTCTGGCCCCCTTCCACTGTCTGTAGAGTCCATGAAAATCCGCTATTGCCCTCTGCTGGAGTGAGGGCTGCCAATGGGACCTGGGCTCCAGCTGGTGACAGGAGGAAAAGATCCAGGAGAGAGAGGGAGGGAGAGAAAGAAAAGAGAGGGCAAAGAGGAGAATGCAATGAAAACAAAGGGAGCATTAATTACTCTAAAATGAGAAAATGCATCAGTGTTTGAAAGTGTTAGATGAGGAAGGAAATGAGTAAGATATTACAGGAATGATAAAAATGAAAAGGGAGGGAGAAAGGAGGAGAAGCGAAGCCAGCAATACTGGAAGAAGGAAGGAGAGAGGGAGATCAGCAAAGGAGAAGAAAGAAAAAAGAGGGAGGGGGAATAATGAGGAGGAGAAGGAACTGAGAAGGGAAAGACAGAGAAAATCTGGCATGCAGAGTGCATGGCTGAACAGTTGAATGAGTCAGGATCTAGGGAAAAAAAAGAGCCTTACTGTGGTTGGAGGGTGGGAGGGAAACTTATCCAGAAGATGAACAGCGGGACAAGGGGGATTCACAGCTTTGAAACCAAAGGGGTATTTGTGATCACTCATAGTGCACTGCACAGTGTGGTCAGTAGAGGATAACAGTCTGTTGTTGCTCACCAGCCTGGGCTGCAGCACCAAGGATGCTGTTGCATCTTCCACAGCCAGGAGGAAATGGCCTGCCTCTTGTAGGCAGGATAGGTACCTTGAGTTAATTAGTTCATTATCTACAACTCAGTCCAGCTGGGTAATAATGATTGGATGCCTGTGACTGTCGCTTGTGCCCTGAGATGCTCCTCTGTCTCTGCAATGTGTCTGCAGCTCCGGTGAGGAGAGGCAAACCTGAGTAACTAGTGCCTGGGGATGTCTGCCCTGGGATCCTGCACTGACCCCATTAATTAGTGGTAGAACAGGGACCCTCTCCCATGGGAATACTCTTGTCAAGACATTGCTGCTCGCGGTGGTAAGGGACTCCCTCTTCGGCCAGAAGTAAAGAGAAGACACGAGGACATGTTCACAAGGAGGTAGTGGAGGGGGGTCTGGGGGGTCTGGCTGTCTTGCAAGGGGAAGAGCTCTATATGGGCACATAGGGGAGAGCAGGCAGATGTGAAACCACTGGAGGGAAGGACTGCATCTCCACACGTGAGATCTGGCCTGGCATCTGCAGCTGATGGCATAGCAAACCTGACTTCTCCAGGTGCGATTGGACTGGGTGCTAGAATAAAGAAAAATCAGAGGGTTCTTCTAGGACGGCTCCTTGACACTGTTAAATAAAACAATTCATTAATTATAAGGTTTTCTATATACCTTCACCCTCCTCCACCAACAGGCTGCTCGTTGTGTGATTATTTTAGTAGGTTGTCATGGCATATCTTGTTACCTGCTAACAGAGGTGCTCCTTTTTCTCCGTGGGCCATGTCAGTGCTCTCTAAGTGTAGGATGCTGAATATAATCTCCATTTAGCTAATGAGCAGAACTGCTCTTGAATTCTATGCCATCCTGAAGGCTCCTGATGGGCTGGAAAGCTCTCAAGGTCAACCATTTCTATAAGGTTTTCTGCACTTCCCAAAGTTAACTGAGACGGAAATACCATGCAAAGAGCATTTGACCTCTCTGGTTCCATTCCCTGACTGAACTGGAAAATGCAGGGGAGGAAGAACACAAACATTGCAGATAACAGCAAAAATAAAGCTCATCAACCTTGTTCCCAAACTGCAAAATAAAAGGGTCGGGCAGAGTTAGTTAGGAGGAAGGTCTAGACTTGCTTTGACTTTATTCGAGGGAGTATGGCATGCATTTCTTTTTATCTTTTTGTCTTCCAGAATTTAAGGAAGCGTTCTCACTCTTTGACCGGACTCCTAAATCTGAGATGAAAATCACATACGCACAATGCGGAGATGTCCTGAGAGCTTTGGGGCAGAATCCAACCCAGGCTGAGGTCATGAAAGTGCTTGGCAGACCCAAACCAGAAGGTTGGTGTCCTTCTCTGTGTTTGTTTTGAAAAAGATCACTGCAAGAATTATTCGTGAAGCAAAAGAGCTTTCCACTTTCTGATGGAAAGATTAGTTGTGAGATAATAAAGGATACGGAACAGTCTCTGCAAATCACTGGCAGAAAAGTAAATTAGTAGGAAGAAAGTGATCTTGCAGTCAATATAAATGTCTCAAATTTAGGAGAATGAATTCATTTAATGACCCTGTGCGTCAATGCGTTTTACAACGACAAGTTTTTGCCTTTTGAAGCTGCCTTGATGACAGGCATTCACATGTGTTCCCTGAAAACGCAGACTTTTTGAAGGCATCCAAAGAAACAGAGGGATAGACCGAGTATGAGGACACAGCTTGTTCTACAGAAGGATGTGTTAGAAGATCTGTAGTAATATAGTAATGTAGTAATATAGTAGTGACCTTATAGCGGTCTTCCAGTACCTCAAGGGGGCCTACAAGAAAGATGGGGAGAGGCTGCTCAGGAGGGCCTGTTGTGATAGGACAAGGGGTAATGGTTTTGAAATAGAGGGAGGTAGATTCAGATTGGATATTAGGAAAAAATTTTTTACCATGAGAGTTGTAGAACACTGGAACAGGTTGCCCAGAGAGGTGGTGGATGCTCCATCCCTGGAGACGTTCAAGGCCAGGTTGGTTGAGGCCCTGAGCAACCTGATCTAGTTGGAGATATCCCTGTTCCTTGCAGGGGGTTGGACTAGATGGCCTTTGAAGGTCCCTTCCAGCCCTAACCATTCTATGATTCTATGATTCTATGAATATGTCCCTTCAACTTTCACCATACACTGGATATGTCTTCACAACAAAGGAAATCTCTCTCAGACCACATCTACATTCAGGCATTTTCTAGATTCCTTCTCTGTCCTTTCCTTCCACCGACGTGGAACTGGCAATTAGGCATTCATTCCACAACTGTGATATGTCAGGATATGGCAAGGACACAGTGGCAGGTAGGACAAGGAGTTATATGGGAACAAAATGCCCTCAATGCTCTTGAAAGGCAAAGAATCAGGAAAAGAACATACACAGACCTGGTCTTGCCTATTCGCTCTGAAGCTCTTCTCCCAGTATGGTTTTAAACACCTCTGAGTTAAACAGCTGCAAGTAAAGCTGATTTCATACTGGGAATGAGCTTCTCTTACTGTCTTCTGTTTATTTTCATAATTTAGGTTGAATGAAACAGTCTTGGGGGTCTAACAGTGGGGGTTTTTGCCTTGATGTTTGTGTATGTCACATGCTAGGAGATTATCTATGTATCTATCTACTAAAAAACTCGTATTTCTCTCTTTGCCAGACTTCTTTCCCACTCTGACTATCCATTCTTCCATCTGTACTTATGATATTTCTGTTCTCTTCTCTCTCTTTTAGCTGGTATTTATTGTCACAGTTCTTCTACCCTCATCACCAACCTATGGTGGATACTCCATAGTTCTAAGCTGTCCCCAAATCCACCAAAACTTTGATTTCCATCTGTGTCTTTGTAGAAATGAACTCCAAGATGATTGACTTTGAGACTTTCCTGCCCATGCTCCAGCATATTGCCAAGACAAAAGACACAGGCACCTACGAGGACTTCGTGGAGGGTCTGCGCGTGTTCGACAAGGAGGGAAATGGAACGGTGATGGGGGCTGAACTCCGCCACGTTTTGGCTACACTGGGTAAGGTGAACCTTTCCTCTTGCAGTTTCATCACTGAAGTCTTTCCCATACAGTTTGTATCATTATGGGTAACCTTTATGGAGAAAATCATAGAATCATGGAATGGTTTGGATTGGAAAGGACCTTAAAGATCATCTAGTTCCAACCCCCCTGCCATGGGCAGGGACACCCTCCACTACACCAGGTTGCCCAAAGCCCCATCCAACCTGGCCTGGAACACTGCCAGGGATGGGGGATCCACAACTTCTCTGGGCAACCTGTTCCACTGCCTCACCACTCTCAGAGTGAAAAATTTCTTTCTTATATCTAATGACTGGACAAGACTTCAGCCATCACATTGTCCTCAGTTATAAAGACAAAAAAAATTTCTTTAATAATGAAGCTAAAAATTACTGACCTACAGCTCAAATATTTGTCTTTCCTTCTTCCTTCCTCCCTTCCTTGTTCTAGTGTTTTATTTCTCCAATAAATATTTCTATCACCATAAAATTACCTAAGCATTGGAAACTCCATCTATTCCTTCAATATTTGTCTCCATTTTTCTGCACCTTCAAGAAAAGTTTTAAGATGAACCACTTTTTTATCAGTCATTTGTTTAACAGAAACGTCTCTGAAATGGAAAGCTCCTGTTTTTAAAGGAGGGACCAATATTTCTCCGTCTTCTCAAATCTTGACTTCAGAAGCTCAGTTTTTCACAGAAAGTGTTGACAACAGAATAAATGCAGGACAGAAAATTTGACTGTAACTTAATGACAGGTTTCCAGTTTGGATTAGAAGGCACTGACATGTTGTCACCTGAATCTAGTAAACATTTCTCAAGATCCATCTTTTCTACTAGTGTTTGTCCACTGTTTTAAGAAAGAATGAAACTTTATAAAAGAGATTTTATTTAGACCAAAGGATTTCAATAACGGGTTTTGACCTGGGATATCTATTCAAAAAGCCAAACCTTTTATGCTCAAGGGTTTTAATTCCACAACACATTGATCTCTATTAACGACACAGGGAATAAGAAAAGAAAGAAATCATGGATCATGTCAGCTGAGGACTTGTTCCTCTGTATCTGAACTCAGTGAAGGAAAAGTGGGACAACATGAGTAGCAGGGCACACCCAATGCATTTTATTTTATTTTATTTTATTTTCTATAATTTCAGGAGGCCAAGAAGGCAAATAGCTTCCTGGCTTGTATCAGAAGTAATGTGACCAGCAGGACTAGGGCAGGGATCATCCCCCTGTACAGGGCACTGGTGAGGCTGCACCTCGAATACTGTGTTCAGCTTTGGGCCCTTCACCACAAGAGGTAGCAAAGTGCTGAAGAGTGTCCAAAGAAGGGCAACGAAGCTGGTGAAGGGTCTGGAGCACAAGTCTTATGAGGAGCGGCTGGGGGAACTGGGGTTGTTCAGCCTGGAGAAAAGGAGGCTGAGGGGAGACCTTCTCGCTCTCTACAACTGCCTGAAAGGAGGTTGTAGTGAGGTGGAGATCTGTCCCTTTTACCAAGTAACAAGCAGAAGGACAAGGGGAAATGGCCTCAAGTTGCAACAGGGGAGGTTTAGATTGGATATTAGGAAGAATGTCTTCCCCAGAAGGGTTGTCAAGCATTGGAACAGGCTGCCCAGAGCAGTGGTTGAGTCACCATCCTTGAAGTGTAGATGTGGCACTTAGGGACATGGTTTAGTGGTGGACTTGGCAATGTTAGGTTTGAGGTTGGACTTGATGATCTTCAAGGTCTTCTCCAACCTAAATGATTCTATGATTCTATGAAATCCCTCTCAAATTTCTCCCTTGCATTTCTGGAACTCATTTGATCTCATCCTAAAATGGATATCTAATATCAGAATGAGGAGATGGATTGGGTTGGTCTCTGCTTAACCAGAATGACGCCCTATAAGTGAATACGCACCTAGTATTTAGATAAATTAAATGGATGGATCATTGATCCAAATCAGAGATCCTAAGTTTGATCTTGAAATATTCTTGAGTCTCATGCTCAGAGACAAACTAGATGGTGACTCTACTAAGAGTTTACTTAGTGAGGACTTCGTTAAAAAGTGACTAAAGCCTTCAAGATTTGGTGCTTGGAGAAAGGCTATACTTAGAAGAATGAGTGTGTGAACATAATATCATGTGGGTTTCCATATTTATTCTGTCTTTCTGGTTTTCAGATCAAATTTTCTCTGTTTGCAAGTTCAAAAACAGCTTTCCTAGCAGTCAGCACCACAAATTAAACTGAAGAGAAAATCTCCCCCTCTTGTCTCTCACTCGCTTTTTTTATTCTTGAATTCTTCAAACTGCGCTTTGTAAATTCTTAAAAAAAGTGTTCGGGTACTAAACAGACATTTTGATTTCCACCCAGGTGAGAGGTTGACTGAAGAGGAAGTTGATAAGCTGATGGCTGGTCAGGAAGATGCCAATGGCTGTATCAACTATGAAGGTAGGTATGACCACTCAGGTCTGAGCAGTGGTTGTGTGCTTGAAGGTTTTGTTGCAATTACCTGAGAAATTTCAAACCTGTGGAAGATCTGACTCCTAAAGATCAGGATGTTTACTTTTTCAAATTTTAAACAAATTCTGATTCTGTGATTCACCTGATATCCCCTATCTGTTGAAGTTTACCTGTATTTTCCATAGCTGAATAGCTGTGGCCCTTTCAGGGGTCGGGCTGTATATTCTTATTTTGTTTGCCTTTTTTGAAAAAATGCTTGCATTGTTTTTTCTACCTGCTCCCACAGTTCCTTGGCCTCTCAAAAAGAGATACACATCCCTTTTGAGACCTTTAGAGAAAATCACCAAGTTTTCTTTCAAAACCTCAGCAAAAAATGTTAACCTTAACATCCTCTTTGATGTCTTAAGAATCCTACAAGACTTTCCAAAGACCTTCCATTTTATTTCATTGCTCTTGTAGGAAGCCAGAACAAAAGGATTTGGTCATGAGTAAGTGGACCATGGTTCTCTCCTGCATTTTGCAAGTCTACATGCTTCAGGCTGTTCAATAAAACCACGATATTGTAGTAGGGATCATGAACACACACACTTTTGTACACAGCTGATACCTTTTTAAGGTTAACTGGTGAGTGAGTATTATTTATTTTGGCTGTATACTTTGGAAAGACAGTTCCATATGGTAGCCAGGGGTAAGGGTGTAAGCAAGCCATGGCTTAACTGATGTGTGTGTTCATTTCCACTGGCTGCCTGGACTGGTGGCTACACTACACTACCTATATCATCTTAAGAACTTACAAAATATTTAGCACCTGGTATCTGGAATCTCATTTACAAAGTGGTGTGGTCTTCACTGCATCAGAGGGAGCAAGAAAAGTTAATTTATACAACAATCAAGCTGAGATACCCAGGATGTTACTGAGCTCAATGAAAGGAAATTGATAAATGACCCTTCTCTTCCTCTTGCTTCTAGCTTTTGTGAAACATATCATGGCGAACTGAACGCCAGGTGAGTCTCTTCTGTCCTCCTTGCATATCCTGTTATTTTGGTTTTGACATCTGAGATAGGTTTGAAGAATATGTAAGGAACTAAACACGGAGAGTAAACATCTCCAGTGTGCTTTACAAGGAAGTAGGATAAGAATGAGTAAAATGTTATCTTCGTCCTATCGAGTGCACAGAAAATCAGTGACCTTTCTGCAGTATCTGGTAAATGTGGACACCTTTATTTTAGAAGTCCAACATAATATATCCTAAAATTATTTGATTTCCTAAGAACAAGTGCTCGTTCCTCTGTAATTGACTGGAAACTTCAAAAGATGCATATTTTTCATGTTCACTTACAAGTCCCTGCTCTTGGACTTCTCCTAAAAAGACAAGGAGATAGAATTGAGCTGACCAGCTCAAAAAATACAAGGAAAAGTAGATAAGAAAGCATAATGTCCGTCTATGTCTTTAAACCTACACTTGGAGGATAATTATTTGCCCTCCATAAATCTGGCTCCCAACATCTGCTAGCAAATGGGTTGATTTTCCAGGAAAAGACATGAGCTTTGTCCAGCACATCTTATGGCTTTATTCAGCAGCGTTCTCCAAACCACAGTACCATTAAGGGTATCTCTGTCTCGCCATTGCAAATGAGCCGAACCTTATTTCCAGTATTTCCTGGTCATCATTTATTTTGGTATTCCTGTAAAAGGTGCCCAGTTTTTTCTACTAGCTTTCACCATCATTTGTCTCTGTTCAGATCTTGGGGAAGGGCTGACCGAGAGTTCACCAACTCCATCTATCCTGCAAAGTATCTGATAGACTGGGAAAAGCAGTGGCATCCTTCTCATTTGCTCTGGTTGCTTTGGGTTTTGTTTGTTTGGATATTTTTTCTGCTGCTTTGTGTTCCTTTTTTCAACTCTGTCCTGAGCAGGCCTGGCTTTGTTTTTCTTTTGGAGCTGACATTATCCCAGACCCCTGAGACCTGTG